ACATCATGTGAGGAGCTCTGGTGACATAGTGCCTAAGGCATCTGACTGCTAACCAGAAGGCTGGTGGTTCAAATCCACCAGCCACTCCCTGGAAGGAAGATCGGGCAATCTACTTCTGTAGTGATACTGCCTTGGCAACCCAAGGAGGGGTTGGTATGAGTCGGGGCCGACTTGATGGCACATAACATACATCGTGTGATGTCTTGACTGCTGTTTCCATTGGTGTTGATTGTAGACCCAAGTAATATGAAGTCTTTGACAACTTCAATCTTTTCTCCATTTATCGTGATGCTGTTTATTGGTCCAGTTGTGAGGACTTTTGTTTTCTTTATATTGAGGTGTGATCCATAAGTGTTTCAAGTCATCCTCATTCTCACCAAGCAAAGTTGTGTTGTCAGTGTATCACAAGTTGTTAATGATTCCTCCTCTAATCCTGATGCCATGTTCTTCATATAGTCCAGCTTCTCGGACTATTTGCTCACCATAGAAATTGAATAAGTATGGTGAAAGGATACAACTCTAACACACTTCCTTCTTGATTTAAAACCATGGAGTGTACCCTTGTTCTGTTTGAATGACAGCCGTCTGGTCTATGGACAGGTTCCTTGTGAGTACAATTAAGTGTCCTGGAGTTCCCATTCTTCTCAATTTTATCCACAATTTGTTATGATCCACATAATCAAATGCTTTTGCACAGTCAATAAAACACAAGTAAACATCTTTCTGGTATTCTTTGCTTTGAGCCAAGATCCATCTGACATCAGTAATGATATTCCTTGTTCCACGTCCTCTTCTGAATCCAGCTTACACCTCTGGAAGTTCCTGTCAGTATAATGCTGTAACCGTTTTTTAATTATCTTCAGTAAGATTTTATTTGTGTGCAATATTAATGATATTGTTTGATAATTTCCACATTCTGTGGCATCACCTTTCTTTGGAATGGGTACAAATATGGATCTCTTCCAGTCAGTTGGCCAGGTGGCTCTCTTCCAAATCTCCTGGCATAACTGAGTGAGTGCCTCCAGCGCAGCATCCGTCTGTTGAAACATCGCAATGGGTATTCCATCAATTCCTGGAGCCTTGCTTTTCACCAATTCCTTCAGTGCAGCTTTGACTTCTTTCTTCGATACCACTGTCATATGTCACCTCCTGAAATGGATGAACATTGACCAATTCTTTTTGATACAGTGACTCTGTACTCCGTCCATCTTCTTTTGATGTTTCCTGCATCATTCAATATTTTGCCCATAGAATCTTTCAAGGTTGCAACTTGAGGCTTAATTTTTTTCTTCAGTTCTTTCAGCTTGAGAAATGCTGAGCGTGTTCTTCTCTTTTGGTTTTCTAACTTCAGGTCTTTGCACATTTCATTGTAATAATTGAGTTTGTCTTCTCGAGCTGCTCTTTGAAATCTTCTGTTCAGGTCTTTTATCTTGTCATTTCTTCCATTTACTTTAGCTACTCTCCATTCAAGGGCAATTTTCAGAGTGTGTTCTGACATCCATTTTGATCTTTCCTTCCTTTCCTGTCTTTTTAATGACCTTTTGTTTTCTTCATGGATGATGTACTTGATGTCACCCCACAATTCCTCTGGTTTTTGGTTATTGGTGTTCAGTACATCAAATCCATTCTCTAGATGGTCTCTAATTCAGGACAGATATAGTCAAGGTCATATTTTGGCTCTCGTGGACTTGTTTTAATTGTCTTCAACTTCAACTTGAACTTGCATATGAGCAATTGATAGTCTGTTCCACAATCAGCTCCTGGCCTTGTTTTGGTTGAAGATATTGAGCTTCTCCATTGCCTCTTTCCACAGATGTAGTCAATCTGATTCTTGTGCAATCCATCTGGTGAAGTCCATGTGTATAGCTGCCATTTGTGTTGTTGAAAAAGGTATTTGTAATGAATAAGTTGTTGGTCTTGCAAGATTCTATCATTCAATCTCCAGCATTATTTCTATCACCAAAGCCATATTTTCTAACTACTAGTGATTCTTCTTTTGCATTCCAATCACCAGTGATAATCAACACATCTTGATTGGACATTTGGTCAATTTCAGACTGCAGAAGTCGATAGAAATCTTCAATTTCCTCATCTTTGGCTATGGTGGTTGGCGCATAAATTTGAATAATAGTAATGTTAACTGGCTTTCCTTGTAGGTATATGGATATTAGCCTATCACTGACAGCACTGTACTTCAGGATAGATCTTGAAACATTCTTTGTGATGATGAATCCTACGCCATTCCTCTTCAAACTGTCATTCCCAGCATAGTAGATCATATGGTTGTCTGGTTCAAAATGTCTAAAACTGGTCCATTTCAGCTCATTAACGCCTAGGACATCAATCTTTATGTGTTTCATTTCATTTTTTACAACTTCCAATTTTCCTAGATTCATGTCATACATTCCATGTTCTGGTTATTAATGGATGCTTGCAGCTGTTTCTTCTCAGTTTGAGTTATACCACATCAAATGAAGGTCCTGAAAGCTTTACTTTATCCATGGTTAAGGTTGGTTCTACTCTGATGAGGCAGTTCTTTCCTAGTCCTATTTTGAGTGCCTTCTGATGTGAGGGGCCCATCTTCAAACACTGTGTCAGACAATGTTTCAGGGCTATTCATAAAGTTGTCCAGTAATGTATCAGAAGGTGTTTCTCTGCTATTCATAAGGTTTTCACTGGCCAAATCTTTGAGAAGTGGATGGCCTCTTCCTTCTTCTGAGTCTGTCTCAGTCTGGAAGCTCCACTGAAACCTGCCCACCCTGGGTGACCCTGCTGGCATTTGAAACACCGGTGGTACAGCCTCCAGCCTCACAGCAACACGCAAGCCACCACAGTAGGACAAACTGACAGTCAAGTTCTAATAGAAAAATGTATTACTTGTATCTGTTTCCCCTTCTAAAGCATCAACTTATTCAGGGCAGTGACTTTCATTCCACATGCCTAGAATAGGCCCGGCACACAGTAGGTGGTCAGTAAATGTTTCTGGAGTTCATGAACAGAGGATCTGGCAAAACCTCAACTCAAGGAAGCACCCGCAGAGCTGAGAGGGAGGCTGGATCCCCAGGTGTTGTGCCAGCCCCCACAGTGCAGCCCCAAGACACCATTCCCTGCTGGAGCATCCTCTGGAGTTCAGCCCATGAACAGTGGAGGGAGCAAGCGACTGGGAGAAGAAAGCACGTTCTGGAACTGAAGTCAGGTTTAACCAGATGGTTCATTTAAGAACGTTAATTGATCACAGTCAGATATTCAGGCTATAAAAACATTCTATACAGTGGTTTAAAAAGTAATACCAGTTCCCCAAAAGCAACCTGTACATACAACATGGACATTCTTTCTCCTGAAAGGGTGTGCACACAGTCCTTAAAAACAATCTCTGTCCCTGAAGACGTGTTTCAGAGACAGCACCCCCAGCAGAGTAATTGAGCAAATGCAGCAACCAGGGTTTGCAAAAATAAATAGATTTTTTCTTTTTTAATATAAGTGGTAACTGTTTCAGCAAATGTACAAAGTGCAAAGGTAAGAGAAAGCCCCGTGATCTGTACACCAGTTTATTTACATGCTTCAGAAGAACACCCTTTCACAGTCCCCACTGCGTGGGGCACAGGGTCTCGTGTCTGTGTGGTGAACAATCTCTGATCCTTTCAAATGCTTCACCCACGACCCAGAGGCTGCCACGTCATCTCTCCAGCCACAAATGCAGTGACGAGGTTTGTGGCACATTCTCGTTGACCTAGACCTGAGGTTTGCTGACAGGCTGAGGGAGGAGACGCAAGTTCCAAGCGCATCTGTCCTCCACGGCGTCCTACCAGCAACACAGTGCTCAAGGGGCACCTGCACAGGTGGCAGCCTGGAGACCTTCTTAAGGACCCAGGCAGACGGAAAGCAAGATGAGGGCAGTTCCCAGTATTCACAACCATGGCTTTGAATTCTTGGCCAACAAGACCCTTTCCTCTATATACATCAGCTCACGCTCATGCTGGCGCTCAGAGAAAGGCCTCCAGCCAACATGCCCGCTGAGACAGGCCTTTCTCCCATCTTAACACATACAACGGAAATCAGTGCAAAATAATCATACAAACATCCAATTTACAGAATGTACAACCCTGAACTGAAAAAGTGCAACAGGAATAAAGGACAAGAAATCCTTTGTGGGGATCGAATAGGGGTGGGGGAGGCCATGGGCTGGGCACAAACAACCCTAACTCATTGGCCAGGGCTGCTTGTCTTCCCTCAGAAGGTAACCTGGTGACTCAGGCACTTAGTCACTGTTAAGGGCAACCGGTGATTCAGGCTCTTCCTCCGGGAATTGGCGTCATTTTGGTGAATGAACTGGTTTCAGTTGGCTCCATTCCCCATCACACTGGATAGGACCATGTTGGTCCCAAGGCCTCGATTCCCCTTCCAAGCTTAAGGAGGGGACACAGGCCCCGCTTGGAAGACACGTTGATCCTGACCTGGGGGTGGTGGGCAGAAGGCTGATTCTGGTTGTCTACCGCGGCGTGCCAGGTAGAGGTAAACACGTTTACTCCTGAGTTGAGGGGCTGGGGGAGGGAGTGGGCACAGCAGCTGGCCAGCTGCTCCTGCTGTGTCTGAAGCCACCTGTCTCATCTCGGCCCACAATCCTGTCATCGGTCCTCCACTTACAGAGCAAGTCATGGTGGAGAGGTTGGGATTCTCCCCCGAGGAAGCGAGGCATCCTTACAACCCAGCATCATTATAGCTCACTCGCAAAGAGAAAAAAAAATCCCCATCAAAACCCATTCTGTGCGCCGTTGGAAGCCTGTGCTGCCTCCCAGAGGAATAAATATATGAAACAAAGCTCTGGGCAGACAGACTGTGCACGGGGCTCCGGTTGGCAGCAGGGCCCGTCTCTCGCCTTTCTTTGACCAGGACAGGAGGGTGTTGATGGCTTGGGAAGGTGGGCAGTTGGTCAAGAAAATATTTCTCTTGCCCAAGACAACAGCCGGTTTTGGTGGGACAGGACACAGTGAGGCAGCTGTTCACGCCACATCGTCCTCCAGGCTGACCATCTGTCTCTGTCAACAGGACCACAAAAGCCAGAAACTGTCAGCCTAACATCCAGAGTCTACCTATTTCTCACCCCATCCTTTGCCCCCACCATCTCCCACCTGGATCAGCCAGTTGCCTCTGCCCTCTGCCACAGTCTGTTTCCTCCACAGAGGCCTGAGGGCATCTGTGAACACCACAGTCATGTCAGCTCTCTCCTCTGCTCAGAATCCGCCACGGTCCCCTTTCACTCACAGCAAAAGCCCAATCCCCTTGTGGCCCACAAGGCCCTACACAATACCTAAATTGTAAAATATACCTAAAATATTTATTGACTATCTCCTTATCTAGCATTTTGCATTTGCGACAATAGTAGAAAATCTTTTTTTTTGCACATTAACGACATTTGACTGCTAACCAGAAGGCTGGTAGTTCAAACCTACCAGCCACACCTCAGAAGGAAGACTGGGCAATCTACTTCCGTAAAGACCCCACCTCTGAAACCCAAGGAGGGGTCGCTGTGAGTTGGATTTGACTCGATGGCAGTGAGTTTGGTTTTTTTTTTGTTTTATGGCCGAAAGAAATACTAAGGTATGAGGTGAGAGTAACACTGCCTGTGTTGGTTAAGGTTGTGTGTGAACTTGGCTGAGCTGCGATGCTCAGGGATTTGGCAGTCATGTCATGATGTAGTCCCCCTCCATTTTTGCATAATGCCGATTTTCACACAACGACCTGGTCTTTGGAGGCTAGCCCTGTTGATGAGTGAGGAGTGGGTGCATGTACGTCAGCATAATCCCCCTGCTCGCTCTGCTGCGGCCACACTGGTCTCCTCGTCCATGCTGCTCAGCACAGCAGGGGCTGCCTACAGCTGCCCAAGGGAAGCCTGCCAGGACACTGACCTAAATCCCCTCCCCCCAGCCCCCCCCACAGCACTCACCACCACCTCACTTAGGGTTTATTTGCTGATTCATTGTGCTTCCCCTGCTCCCACACACACTAGAAGGGGTGATCTCCAGGGGCAAGGCCTGGCACTTGGGAGGCGTGGATGGACATGGACACACGAAAACACACACACACACACACACACACACGGCTCACTCAGTGCCATCCTTGGCCACCAGTGCTGAGACAGCTTCCCCAGGCTCAGCCCCAGGCATGTACAACGCGGTAACAGATCCCCTCTCTGCCCTGGCCGAGCTCTCACCGAGGGGTAGGTGTAGCCATCCTGGCTGCGGCAGATGTGGACCTCGTCCTCGGTGGTCTTCTGGTAGACGGGGTTGTCGAAGTTGATGCTGTTGATGCTCTTCAGCCGCCAGTTCTTCCAGAGGAGGAAGGCCCCGAAGCACAGCAGGATGAGCAGCACTGGGGGGAGGGGAGAGTGAGGCGGCGCCCAGGGTGCCTCGGACGCCGGGCCTCTGTACTGGCTAACGCTTCTGTTCTGGTACAGCGACACGTGGCCATGTGCACGCAAGTGTGCACACACACACACACATTGTAAAAATACATCCATCCACTTACGGAACCCAGGGAGGAAGCAGGAAGAGTGCTGTTATATTAAGGGGATCGCAGCTAAAACAAAACATGTGTAAATTATTGAATGGAAACTAATTTGCTCTGTAAACTTTCATCCAAACCACAATAAAATGTTCAAAATACCCACATACACACATACATCCATATACACAAATGTGTATGTGGTGCCTTGGGGTCTGCGCCGGAACAGCTGGCCCCAAGCTCTCCCTGTGATGAACCTCATGGGGCTGCTGGTTCTCAGAAATGGGGCCACTCTCTCTGCGCTGGGCTACACCTGTCTTTTCTTCTGTTTTAACACATGTGCGTGGATCCTCCTTTTCCTCATGCACAGTGCGTGTCAGCTTGGGGTGGCAGTCAGGACTGCGCATCTCCCTGCCTGTGTTCTCGTGGGCTGATGGTCATCAGGGGACCATCAAAGGCTAACCCAACAGAGGTTGCAGACGACCCTCAGGAGGATGTCATCAGAACAGGAACACTGAGTGGGAGACTCATGGAGCCCTGCCTGACGGGGTGAGGGAAGCTCCCAGGCAAGTGCCTTCCCGCCTCTCAGGTCTTGAAGCCCCATAGCAATAGCAGCACACCCCGACCCTATCCAGGCTCTATTTCTCCCATCAGACACTGCCCATTGCACTTGTTCCTGGTCAGCTCCAAGGGGATGGCATATTTATGTCTTTCACAGCTGTGTCCCAGCATGCCCATTGCACTTGTTCCTGGTCAGCTCCAAGGGGATGGCATATTTATGTCTTTCACAGCTGTGTCCCCAGTGCTGGGAAGTAGGCCTGGTATGCAGTAGGTGCTTAACTATGTTTGTTAGGTGAATGAGGATAGAAAGGTGCTCAGTGGTGGCCGGGATGTACCGTGGGGCTGCCCTACTCCTAGGGAGAGAAGCCTAAGTGGGCCGCTCTCTGAGCAGGGCAGCTGTTTTACAGGCACTGGGAGGCAGAGGGGTTTGAGGAGCAGTGGGGATGGGCCGGCAGGCACTTACCGATGGGGAGGATGATGGACAGCGCCCCCACACGCCTGGGCTTCTCCTCGGTTCCTCTGCCAGCAACATCACCCATGGCTATGTGGGAAAGGGGAAAAGTGAGGCTCAGATCAAGAACAAGGGCCATAAAAAGCAAAAACCAGCCCTCCATGGAAAACTGCATGACAATCATCATTGTCTTTAAAAATGCAAAGGAACTCGGAGAACTGTCAAGTCTGAGCAATGCTACACTTCATTCTTCATCAGTAATTGGGCTCTGAGAGTCCGTGTGGGTTTAAGAAGGTTCTTTAACATCACTGACATTGATGAGGCATGGGAAGAGGTTCTCAGGAAGGCCTCCCAGAGCAAGGTCTACAGAGGCATTTTCATTGGTGAGAGGTCACCAGTGGGATTCTTCAACCTGGCTTTGCATTTTAGTGAAATAAGAATATGCTGGATGGGCCAAAGCCAGGGCCAAAGTCCTGTGTCATGTGTCTCAGGCTAATGACAAGTGATGCGGGGGAGGGAATACACAACCAGGGGTGTGTGCCTGGGTGCCATGCAACATCAGGGCCCCCGCAAATGAAGGCTTAATGTCTTCTCAATAGGCAAATGGCTGGGAGGCCTGAATAGGCCACACCGGAGCCACGTGTACAAGGTATGATGTGAACCGAGACGGATTTGACTGGAGCTGGTGATGGGTCTAATTCTACTGGCTACTGTGCACCTTAACCTCCAGGAGCGTCTGAGGGATGCAGGTAAGGACACAGACCTAGTTTACATTTGTGCCTATGTAAGGAACCTTGTAATCAAATATAAAGGAGCTCTGGTGGCAGAGTGCCTAAGGCATTTGACTGCTAACCAGAAAGTTGGCAGTTCAAACCCACCAACTGCTCCATGGAGGAAGATGAGGCAATCAGCTTCTGTCAAGATTTAGAGCTTTAGAAACCCAATGGGGGTCGCTATGAGTTGGAATTGACTTGATGGCAATGGGTTGGTTTTGGTTTTAATAAAATACAATGTAGGTCCTTTGCCAAGTTTGAGAAGCCCTGGATTAGCCTGTCTATGAAATAGCTTTTCAAATACTATTTCCTAAAGTGAGGTTTCCTGACCTCTCTCAACCACAGAAGTAATTTTTTCCCTCATTTGTGGCTGAATGAAGGCTCTAACTACTCTGAAGGGAAGGGGAAAAAAATCCAAAACTCACTGATACTCCATCTTTTCTGGCTAAAAAAGAGTCTATGAGTGCCATTTCCGTGCAGTGCAAACCAGGTTGCACGCCCTCTGGTGGACAAAGAAAACCATGACCTGATGGTCTTCAGTCAATTCATACAATCCGACTCTACACGGGTATAATCTTGCACTTACTAGAAATAAAATAAAATTTTACTTCCAAAAATATATGGCTGAGCTGTGGGCTGTAATTTCATGATTCAATTTTTTTTTTTTTTAAGTACTTCATTAAAATATTATTTCATGACCCAGATTTAGGTGTCCCTAAATGCTGCACCCAGGAGAGTGCCTCACCCGCCTACCGTAGTCCTGGTCCAGGTGAGCAGACCCCTGGAGGTGAGGCAGAGAATGGGCCTTGGTAAAGTGTCAGTCTTCCAGGCCCCTGTGCCGAGTGAACTCTGGGAACCAGTAGCCAGCGTGGGCTCAGCCCCTTCACCTGCATTGTCACTCTAATCCCCACTGTTACAGGGAAAGTGGACAGGCACATCTTCAGCCCCATTTTATAGGTAGGGAAAGTGAAGCTCCAGGGATGCACAGCCCATGTCAGAGATGGCGGCGAGGGAGCCAAGACCAAACTCGGGACCCAGCTCTTCACCAAGACTCTCAGAGGCTCTGAAGGGGCCCATCCACCACTCGTCCCGAGAAGCCAAGGCCAGGGTGGGTCCAGCCATTACCTTGGTGGGACATCGTAGTCGTCTCTGCCGTGGTGAGCTCAGGGACGGCCACAGGCTTCGTCCTTGTGGCCACTGAGCTGAGTGTCTGCTTGACGGTGGCCTGAGCCGTGGAGGACCCCTCGGTGGTCACTGCAGTTTCACCCTCTGAGAGAATAAACATTTCCTGAGTGTGGGGTACACAAGGCACTGCTGTGACAGCCGTGTGCTCCTAACAACAATGGGAGGAGATGAGGACCCTGGCTACAGAGAATGGAAACAGGCGGAGGGAGAATGCAAACACATTAACGTACAGCCACTGTCCTCTCATTGTCTCACATTTTGTTAAAAAGGGAGTCACAGGTGTTACAGGTAGTAGGGACACGCTGACCCCAAATGGAGACTCTCCCAGAAAGAACTGAGAAGGAGCCATTTCCCCATGTGACACCAGTGTCTAAAATAAAATCTGCTCCTAAGGGCCCAGAAAAGGAGCAACATGTCTACACTCCCAGCATGGTGCTGATGCACCCAGCATTTGGGACCAGTCAACTGGGTGTCATGCACTGAATTGTATGTGTGGTAAATCCTAACCCCTGTAGCTATGGCCAGAATCCCATTTTAGGCATTCTTTGTTATACTAACAGACAACATTAGTGTAGGGTGTGTCTTAAATCAATCTTTTTTGAGACATAAAGGCAGATTAACTCCATACATATATAATATATAGGGGGAACTAACAAGGGGCAAAGTTATGATAACTTCTTAGCCGCAGCCAAATACTTTGAGGGAGACTGGGCCTATGGGCTCAGGACCACGGTCACTGGCCACATCAAGCTCAATACCACACAAAAACATTGTTCTACATCCTACTTTGGTGAGTAGCGACTGGGATCTTAAAAGCTTGCAAGCAGCCATCTAAGATGCAGCTATTGGTCTCTCCTTGTCCAGAGCAAAGAAGAATGAAGAAAACCAAAGATGCATGGAAATAATTAGTCCAAGGGACTAGTGGACCATGGGAACCTCAGCCTATCTGACCCTGAAACCAGAAGAACTAGATGGTGCCCAGCTACCAGTCAACCACTTGGAAAGAGATCAAAATTGGAGATCCTGAATAGAGTGGGAGAAAAATGTAGGAAAAAACTCAAAATCATAAAAAGACCAGATGTACTGGTCTGACAAAGACTAGTAAAACCTCTGAGACTCCGGCCCCCACTCACCCTTTAGGCCTGGAATTAAACTCACTCCCATGGCTTAACTTCCAGCCAAGCAACAGACAAGTAATGAGGTAGACATTTATGCCAGGTAGGGATTCTCCTTAGAACAATCAACCACTGGAGATCAGAGAGGCAGCGGTTGCACAGGGAGATAGCTTGGGGCAGGAATGCATAGGAAAGGGCACAGGGAAGAGGTATCCACAGGGAGGAAGTAGGAAGAGAGCTGGTGCATTATGGGGACTGCAATAAGTGTCAGCAAACAGAATGTGTATAAACTGTATGGAAAACAAATTTGCTCTGTAAACTTTTACCCAAATAATAATTTTTAAGAATAAAAGCAGATTAAGCAGCAAGCAGAGGTGGGGGAAGACAGACGGCGGGCCATATGAAAATTACCACGGAACCAAGGAATAGAACCTGAAGAGAGACAAGGCCTTCTCCCAGAGCCAATAGAGAGAGAGCCTTCCCCTAGCACTGGTGCCAGAATTCAAACTTCTAGCCTCCTGACCTGTGAGAGAATAAATTTCTGTTTGTCGAAGCTGCCTACCTGTGGTATTTGTTATAGCAGCGCTAGATGACTCAGACACTAGGGCTACCCCAACTTATGAGTGCTCATATCTGAGAGGCGTCAGGGGTCGTGGCCCATCAGGTGGCAGAGGCAGGACCCGCGCCCAGCTGGCCAGCACTCGCCCCCTCTGCCTGCCAGGCCAGCACCCTCACCTGTGAGGCAGCTTCTCATGTCTTTGGCCAGCAGCATGCCGTCGGGGCAGGCACAGGTGAACTTGGGTGAACGGGGGTTGATCTGAGGGGCCGGGAGGCACAGGTACTGGCAGCCGCCATTATGGAGGGAGGTCTTCTCACACCAGTTCACCCCTGGAGCAGGAGAGGCGGAGGTGGGGTAAGAATCAGGCATTTGTCAGATAGACCAGGAAATTCCAGTGGCCCCGAGAGAACCGACAGCAGTGGTGGGGAATGGGCTGCAGCCACCCTGGCCTACCTCTTGGCTGCGTAAGGTTGTGGAAAAGGACTATGTCTTCTGGTGATAGCAGATTCCCAGCCACTAAATTAACGTCCATGCCCGTGAGGCGGTTGGCACTGAAAATGGCTTCATTGATGATGTCCGTCCAAAATACTTTATCCTACATGGGCATTAAAACAAATCCCATTGGCTACCAGGATGGGACATAGACCACTGTCTCCCGTCTCTAGGATGTGGGTGGTGGCGTCGTCTCCACCACAGCACTGTCTGGCCCAGAGGATCCTGTGCTGGGGACTCTTGAGTCAGTAACAGTAGTCCCTGGTTTCTTTCTCTGTTATGATAACCAAAAAGTTCATGGCCAAGCTTGGGACTGGTGGAGACTTCAGCCCCCTTTTGGTGAGGAGAAAATGGAAGTAATGCCAGGTCTGAGACTTCACCGTCAAGGGCAGTGTTCCCAGCCAAGTGTAGGCTTATATGAAGTGGACAATGGGTCAGTCTGCAAGCACAGCCTCAAACATGAGCAGCTATCTTAATGATTCACTCAAACATTGAAGCAAGGGCGCTCCCTCCCAGCCATCACCTCAAAGACTGCCAGGGAGAACGGGTGGGCCAGCCTTTTCTCATCCTCTAGAATGGTCTTCCGGTTCCTCCCATTGATATCTATGCTGGAGATGGAGTGAAGCTTGGAGTCGACCCAGTAGAGGCGGCCACTGGAAAGATCTAGGACACACAAGGTGGCAAGGAGAGGTCACATTCTAATGCCAGAGGGGCCTCTGGGCTTAGCCATCCTGCTCCCCTCAGCAAGAGGCCCCTGCAGGTCCCGGCTTATGCCCGCCCTCCACAGTGGAAACCAAAGTCATTGGGGCAGAAGCAGCTTCATGGCATCACCTGAGGTGTGGGATGAATCACATGCCACCGCTGTTGCCTAATTGTCTCCACCCCCAACCATTAAGCTCTCTCAGCTGGGGAGTAGGTTTAGTTGTGGGTTATAAAAACCTCAGGGTTTGAAATGAATTGAACTTTGAAGTGAAACCATTCCTGGAGGTCACCTTTCAGCTAAATAACTCACTGACTCAGAAAATAAACAACATCACTCATGAGTACTGTGCTCCTTTTTTTTCTCATCTATGAGACCAAATGGTCAACATTTACTCTAAAGCAAAGATGAGAAAGTGGGGGAGGGGGGATAGGGAGGCTAGATTAATGGAAACAGAACAACCAGAATGGAAATGAGAATGCTGATGCAATGTGGACAGTGTAGCCAACATCACTGAACAGTATGTATAGAAATTATTAAAGGGGAACCTAATTCGCTGTGCAAACTTTCACCAAAATCACAATAAAATATTAAGGAAACAAAACCTCAGAGAATCTGGGAACAGATAGAACATAAAACAACATGATGAACACAGTGTCACTGAACTGTACATGGGAAGATTGTTGAGGTGTTGAACATTTTGCTACATATGTATTTAACACACAAAAAAAGAAGAAAATGAAAGACTTAAAGGACACAGCCAATTGAGAAAACCCAAACAAACAAGAAACCCAGGGAGCTGCACCCCCTCCAGAAGCCAATCTGAAACCTGAGCCTGGGCCTGGCCTGTGGGAATGGCCGTCCCACCATCATACCCAGGGTGATGCCATTGGGCCACTGGATGTCTTCTGTCACCAGCGAGTAGATGTCCACACCGTTCAGGCCCCCTTTCTTGATCTTTGCGGGGGTTCCCCAATCCGTCCAGTACATGAAGCTGGAGGAAGAACAAGGAGAAGAGGTCATAAAAACACATCAGGGTAGGCTCCCAGGGACATCCAAGAGCAGCTTCCACCTGAAACAGCCAGGCCGTGGCTCAGACCTGGCCACCGGGTGGGGACAAGGAGGTGCTCTCTCTGCTTCCTCAACCTTGCCTGCCCCGGGCCCAGCACCTGGTGAGATTTTAGAGCCAAAGGCCAGACCTGTGGCTCTGGAACCTGCCCCCTAAACATTGCTCCCCAGGTAGCTCTGACAAAGTGCTCAAACTGACTCACAAGGAAACAAATACAAATTAAAACTGTCCCTGTCTTATCAGCAAAGACTAAACACGTGTGGGAGCAGGGAGCAGGCCCTCACACTTCAGGTGGGACAGCAGGTCCGAAAACGTGTGTTTGGTAGGGCAATTTGGTGATAACTCTGCGTATGCACCCTCTGACCTAGAACCCAGCCTCTAGAAATCTATGCTGCAGAAGAATTACAAAGGCTCAAATTCAAAGGGATTCGTGGCTGCTCTGTGTGAGGCAGGAAAAGGAAATGACAGGAACCCCCACGCACTAGTAAGACAAATCCTGCTCAGCCCACCCAGGTGACAAACCACGGTGTACAGGTGAATGAAAGAGCCTGGCAGAGGACAGCGTACACGTGGCCCTCCTGCCCATGGATTGGAGTGGGCATGCTGGGAATCTCCCTCCCCGGGAAGTTGTGTGGAAATTCACTGGGCAGCATGGCCCCCAACAAAGGCTCCTTCAACACCCTCCAGCATCTGTCTTGCTCAACTGGGACCCAGCCCAGCTGAACCTTGCCTTCATCACCAGCCACTCCTCTGCCCTCAGAGCCATGCTCCCTGTGTTCCCTCCTGGACATCACACAAAGATGGCCACGTGTGCCTTCTCCAAGGTTCACTCTCAACTGCCCCACCAACATTAGATCCCGACGCTACCTGGAGCTCTTTCCCCCAACATGTTCACTCCCCTGGACCAAACACTCCCCTTCTTCCAACTGTTGATGCCAGGCAGGACCAGCTGGCTGCCAGGGTTTGCCAAGGCCCCTCTGGATTGTAAAATTCCACATCTGACGCGCTGAGGTGGCAGATGTGGCCTGACAGGTGCAGAGTGCATGGGGAGGGGTGACCCTGCGACAGGGTCAAGGAGCTGCTGAGTCAGCCCTGAGGGCAATGGCCTGCAGCTTGCACTACAGTAGGCTCAAAAAAACTAAACCTACTGCCACTGAGTCAACTCCCACTCATAGTGACCCTACAGGACAGAGTACAACTTGCCCCATAGGGTTTCTTCAGTCTTCCCATGGAGCAGCTGGTGGGTTTGAACCACTGACCTCTTGGTTAGCAGCCAAATACTTTGACCACTGCACCAACAGAGTTCCTTTAATCTCTGGGGGTGGGGTTTTGATCCTGAGGGCAGGACTTCTCCTTTTCCACTTCCACATCAGGCCAACAGGCACCAAGTGAGAGCTGACCCCCATGGCCTCCCAAAGTATGGTGGGGGAGGCCCGTGCTTCAGGTCCCTATGTTTTCTGAGGAGTCTCTGGGTGGTGCAAACGGTTAATGTGCTTGGCTGCTGACCAAAGGGTTGGAGGTTTGAGTCCACCCAAAGGCGCTTTAGAAGAACAGGCCTGGCTAACTACTTCCCCAGGGTTAACCCTAGCAAACCCCATGGGGCACGGTCCCACTGACACAGGGGCCACCATGAGTCAGAGTTGACCTGATGACAGCTGCTGGGCTGCTTTTTCGTTTTCTGACAGCACAAGTCCCCGGCTGCAACCTCTTTTCCACAGCTTGGGACAGTCCACACCCACTCAGTCTACCTCCTAAGTCCTACCTGGATCCCGAATTCTGTCCCTGTGCCCTTCCTCACCCCCATACTCCTCAGCTTTGCAAATACACACCCGTGAGTGGGATCCACCACAATGGCCCGGGGCTTTGAGTCTTTCTCCTTGAATAGTGTTTTCCGCTTCACACCCTTGGTGTCGGCCACTGAGACGGTACCGAGGACAGAGTCAGTCCAGTATATGTGGCTGTGGACCCAGTCCACGGCCAGCCCGTCCGGGGCCTGCAGGTCCCTGCTGATGATGGTGTCGTAGGAGGAGAAGCTGTGGGCTCTGTCGATCTGGGTGCTGCAGAGGGAGAGGAGCTGACGTCAGATGGGGGCTGTCATCTCCCCGGGAGTCTGGGTATGCACGGGGTGGGGCTCACCTGTAGATCTTCCTCTGGGACAGGTCGGACCAGTAGATTCTGTTGCTGGCCACCTCTGTGTCCAGGGCAACCACATTCTTCAGGTTGGAGATGAGGCTGGTGTACTCACTCCGGTCCAGCGTCATCTTTCTCACCTCGTGGCGGTTGGTGAAGAAGAGGTAGGCTATGGTGCCTGGAAGTGAGGGAGGGCGGTCAGTGGAGCAAAAAGCCCCTGACGGAGCCGAGAGTGCTCCTTCCCATCTGCACTTGTCACCCACAGACTCTGTCTGAGCAAACCAGACCAGATGCCCAGAAAAATAGGGTGGAACACATCCACGGGCCCCAGAAGTTTACATTTGAGAAGATAAAGATGAAGAAATAGTAACAGCTAATATTTACAGAGTCCCTGGGCAGTAGAAATGTTTAATGCTCTTGCTTCCTTTAGGTTAGTAGCTCGAGTCCACCCAGACACAACTCAGAAGAAAGGCCTGGTGATCTACATCTGAAAATCAGTCAGTGCAAACCCTATGGGGCATCAGGGTCCAATCCACGACCAATCACAAGCCCCAACCCACTGCCAGTGAGTTGATTTCAATTCATAGCCACCCTATAGGACACAGTGAAACTGCCCCATAGGGTTTCCAAAGCAGTAAATCTTTACAGAAGCAAACCGCCTCATTGTTCTCTGGCAGAGCGGCTGGTGGGTTCAAACAGCTGACCTTTTGGTTAGCAGCCAAGTTCTTTAACGCTGCACCACCAGAGCTCCTAACCAATTTCAGGGATGGTGTTTCACTCCCTTCTGCACAGAGTCCCCATGACTTAGGGGTCCACTTGATGGCAGCTAACAAAAATAGTTCTGGAGCAATTCCTATGGGCAAGGAATTCTGCTTAATGATTCCCATACTGGTTTTCCTCATCCAATCCTCACCATCCTGCAAGGCAGGAGCTGCTATTGATCCCCTTCACAGATGAGGGATTTGAGGCTCAGAGAAGGGGAGTGACTTGCCCAAAATCACACAGCTAGTGAGTGGCAAAGCCAGAGCTAGGATTCAAACCAGGTTATCCTAATCCCAGGGACTGTGGTCTAAATACAACACAAGGGGTGGTGGGTGGGTGGGTGGAGGCTACAACCCAAATATTTGCTATCCCAGCTCCCAGTTACACAAAACAAACATGCACCAACGAAATGACCACTCCTCCTCCTGGACTTGCCTCGGAGCATCCCACCCCACGACGCCACCCCAGCCCCAGGGACAGCCCCTCCATAAACACTGACACCTACGGTGAAACCTCAAAGTCTGGAGGATTTCAAGAACTCAGGGAAAGTGACTGGGACACACAGGGTGACCACACAGGCACTGAAGGGACTTTGGGGAGAGGGACAGGAACAGAGAGGCCCTTGAGTGAAACCAAGCAGCTGGACACCATTTCTGCAGGATCTGCCCTCCCTGCTCTCACTGTGAGAGCAAAACCAGGAGTGAAGGCTGCAGAACGGGCGGGCCCACCGGGGAAGCTCCGCCCCCAGAGCCCACGGAACTGTGCTTCGAAGCATTAGCACCACATAGTCAGCTATTTCTATTTTGTTTCATTACTAGCTCTTAAGTTTTGGTGTCTTCTAAGTGGATTCTTGGTATTAATTTTCTTTAGTTATAAAGGAGGCCCTTGATAGCACAAACGGTCAATGTGCTCACAGCTAACCGGAAGGGAGGCTCACGTTCACCCAGAAGCACCTTAGACTAAAGGCCTGGTGACCTACTTTCAAGAAATCAGCTGTTGAAAGCCTTATGAAGCCCAGTGCTACTGTGGTGCACACAGGGTTGCCATGAGTCTGAGTCGACTCAGTGGGGACTGGTTTACTAGTTACTGGTTAGTTAATGAGAACAGCTGCGGGGATGCAGGCTGTTTGGACAATGGCTTTCTATCTCTTTTCCGCAACCCCCACCCCAAACAGTCTAAGAAAGGAAAACTTGGGTCACTAGGAGAGCTGAGTGCTGCAGATGGTAATGACTTTAAGCAACGTTGACTCTGCGGCGTCAGTCAGCACTGTTCAGGAGCCAGCCATGTGTGGGCAGTTTCACGGGCAAGCCTGACCTGGGCAGTCACGTGGAACGTCCGCCTGCCAGATGGTCTCGAGAGCAAATGTGCTGCCTGCCAGGTCACATGATTCAGTTCTCTTTGGTTTCCATGCCAAAGTTCAGATGATGAAATTCTGAGGCCTTGGTTTTCCCCGCCGGCTAAGGCCAGCCCCTCTCAGCCACCTCCACCAGCCGGCACTCACCGATGGCCTTGCAGGACTTGGTGTGGGGGTCAATCTGGAAGCCACCATGACATTCGCACTTGTAGCTCCCCTCGAGGTTCACGCAGATCTGGCTGCAGGTGTCAGGTTCCTGACACTCGTCGATATCTGCAAGTCAAGACGCAGGGAAAGATTTATTTCAGGCATCTCCTGCGGACTGTGAGTGGAGTAACGTGCACCACACAGCTCATATGAACCTAGACCAAACTCTACGGCTGCCAATTGCAGAAGGGGGCCCTCTGGGACAGGCATCTGGGCAGGGGTCACAGTGACAGTTGGGTTCTGAAACAGCCAAGGAAATGTCTTGAGTGTTGCCCCAACAGTGACTCCGACCTCACTGTTCACCTCAGGCACAGCCAAGAGGGAGAAGCTGCATCAGCTGAGACTTCTTAATTATTAATCCCAGAAGGAAGAACACTGCTGGGAGCTGCCTACTGCTCACAGAGGCCAGGCCTGTGCTAAACGCTCCACACACTACGCATCTCATTAAGTCCTCCCAACTGCCCTGTGAGAGTGTGCCTGTCACCCCCACTTTATAGAGGAGGAAGTCGAGGCACAGAGTTTGCCCCCCACATCTGAGAGCAGAGCAGGCCCAGGCCTGGCCGGCCGGGAATCACCTTCACATCTTCTCTGGTCCACGAGCCGGAAGCCCTCAGGGCACAGGCACTCATAACCAATCTTGAGATCGTTGCAGACGTGGGAGCAGCCTCCTTTGTTGTCCAGACACTCGTTGGTACCTAAGGCGGCCAGGGAACACACAGGTTATGCCTGGGCTTCCAGCCCTCCCATTCCCTGCCACTGTGTCATTTCAACATCTTTATCTCAATCAGAGACTCCCTGGGGGGCATAAGCGGTTAACAGGCTCGGCTGCTAACAAAGAGGTTGGTGGTTCAAGTCCACCTAGGAAGAAAGGCGTGGCTATCTGCTTTTGAAAGCTTAGCCATTGAACACCCTCTGGAGCACAGTTCTACGCTGACACACGTGTCGCCATGAGTTGGAATTTACTTGATGGTAACAGGTGGTTGTTGTTGTTGTTGTTTGTAATCACAGTCACAACAACAACTTAGGGGTCAGCGAAGTAATATGATCCCTAACCAAAGTCAACAAACAAAAACCAAACCTACTACTGCTAAGTTGATTCCAACTAATAGCATCCCTACAAGACAGGGTAGAACTGCCCCGGAGGGTTTCCAAGGCTGTAATCTTTACAGAAGTGGACTGCTACATTTTTCTTCCACAGAGCGGCTGGGGGTTAAACCCACCAACCTTTCAGTTAACAGCTGAGTGCTTGATCATTGTGCCACCAGGGCTCTTTAATATGACCCCTAAACAAACAAAAAAAAACCCAAACCCACTGCCATTGAGTTGATTCTGACTCACAGTGACCCCCAGTGGGTTTCCGAGGTGGTAAACTTTTATGGAAATAGATTGCTCCAACCTCCTTCTGTGGAGTGGCTGGTGGGTTTGAACCAACAACCTTCTGGTTAGCAGTCAAGTGTCTCAGGCACTGCACCACCAGAGCTCCTTAATTTTCCCCCTAAGAGGGCTTAAAATAATCATATTCCACTGACTATAGTTACATGTATTAACTCATTCAATCCTCTTAACCCTAAAGATGGCAGAAGGAGCATCTTCCCATTCTACAGGTGGGGAAATCAAGGCACTGGCAGTTAAACTATTTGCTCAGAATCATGCAGCTTAGCTCCAGAATCTATAGTCTGACCCTCTCTACCAGTCACAGGCCAAATCCACCCACCAGTTGTTTCTGTACAGCCCGCAAGCTAAGCATGGTTTTTACAGTTTTAATAATTTAAAAGAATAAGAATAAAAAAAAATAATAATACTTTATGACATAGAAAAATGATAAGATATTCAAATTTCAATGTCTCTCGATAAAGTTCTCTAGGAACACAGCTGGTGGTGCAGTGCTTGTTAACTGAAAAGCTGGCCGTTCGAACCCACCAGCTGCTGCACTGAGAAAGATGTGGCAGTCTGCCGCCTTCAAGATTACAGCCTTAGAAAGCCTATTGGGTGGCTCTACTCTGGCCTATAGGGTCACTGTGAGTCAGAGTTGATTGGACGGCAGGGGTGAGGTCGGGAACACAGTCACGTCCATTCCTTTTCACTGTGACTTGTTTTGAACCACAGAGTTGAGTAGCTGTAACAAAGACCACAGGACACAGAGTCCAAAATATTCACTCTCTGGCCCTTTATAGAAAATGTCTGCCAGCCCTTGCTCTGTGCCATACAGCTGTTCCTAACAGACTTGCCAGTGCTCACAGCTGCAGTTTTGAGGACACTTACTACTGCCCCAGCCTGGTGGAAACTTTACAAGCGTTTCATCAGTCAATCCCCCGACAGCCCTAGGACCTTCAAGCAATTACTGTCCCCTCTGATAGATATGAAAACTGAGATTCAGAGGCAAAGTCACTTGTTCCTGTCCCCCACATCTGTCCCACCCCTGACCCCAAAGCTCCCACAGGCCAAAGATGTGTTGAGCTTTTCGTCAGTACTGCCCAGCTCGGGATGGAGGGGTTGGGGGGTGGTGTCTGAAACTTCTGAAGTTCGTACCCTCCCACCCTCAGTCTCCTTAAGATCCGCAGGCCGCCTCCCTCCAGGGCTCACCACACTCCTTGAGGGGCTCGTCCGACCAGTCCCGGCAGTCCCTGACGGAGTTGCACACTTTGTCCAGGGTGATGCATTCGCCACTATGGCACTTGAACTTGTCCGGCCCCTCACACAGCGTCACTACAAGAGTCAGAGACTGGAGGGTCAGGTGCTTCTGAGCACAGGAGACCACTTAGAAGTCTTTAATATGATAGCGCACTCATCCAAGAATATACATATCCATTAATAAAACATGGTAACAATTGAACCCCATGTGCTACCACCTGTAACTTGAGAATTAGAATGTTACCTAAAGCAGGACCTCAGCAGACTTTGGCCTGAGGGCCAAGTCAATTCATTTAAATAAAGTTTTACCAGAACACAATCAGAGTTGAGTTCTGAAAACACTCATACTCTGGCCGTTTACAGAAAAGCTTTGCTGACCCATGAACCTACTATCATGGGTACCTTTTCCTGGTCCCATTCTGCCAAGATCATGAGGTAACAAAAATCCTGACTCTTGGGGTTCACCGTTTCCTTAGTTCTATCAAGCATGTATTAATGAGCAAGATATTAGTTAACTCTTGTTTTTGAGATTTCTAAAAGGACTCCATCTAGCAGTCTTCTGCAACTTGCTTCTTCCTCCTGGCGCCAAGGTTGGGAGGTTTCTGTGTTGCTGCTGTGCATTTTCTCTGCTGTCTGATACCCACTGGGTGCCCACACCACCGTTTAGAATTCTGCTGATGCTGAACCTCTAGGTTGGTTCCCCTCTTTGCTATTAAGACAACGCTGCTGGGATCTCTGTGAAGTGCATCTCCCAGTGCCCGGGCCATTTCATCACAGAACATTCCCAGGCATGGTGCTGGTGGGCTGTCCGTAATATCATAACGGGCCTGTCACTGTGGGCTCCGTGCGCAGTAGCCTGATTAAATCTCCCAGCCTTGAAATAGGTGCTTTTATTATGCACATGTTCAGGTAATGGGAGGTGAGGCTCAAGGGCAGGGGAACTAACTCAAACTCAGGCCCATACCTGAATTCACAGCCATCCTCCCTGACGCCCCTCAACTCTGCAGAGCACTTCACCAACAGCGAGGCACAGAAAGGTGGGGGCCAGGAGACCAGGCGGCAGCCCCACTGGGCACAGCTCACCGTTGATGCAGCCAAGCTCGTCGCTCAGGTCCTTGCAGTCGTACTCCTTGTTGCACTGCCGGCTGCCATGGATGCAGGTCCCATCCCCGCACTGGAACTCGTCGGGCCGGCACGTGGCCACGGCTGGAAAAGACAAGGGGGTTGATTCTCTCAGGGAGAGACAACAAGGGAAAAAATCACCTCCACTCCAAAGCAGCCATTGGGCCAAAGGGAAGCACTGCCTCAGTCCTCAAGCTCCAAGAAGGAAGAGGCCCAGGAGGAGCAGGTGAAAAGGCGGCCATTGTCCACCATCTGTCTTCATATTCTAACTGATAACCAATGAAGATTGCAGAACAAAAAATTTAACAACATTTTGTTCCTCAGTGAAAAGGAGTCAAAGAAAATTACTATTAAAGTGAACAAAGTTTAGAGAATAGGAAAGGGGGAAAAAAAATCCCCAAATCTAACTCCCTAATGTAACTATGAGTCAGGGCCGACTTGACGGCACATAACAACAACAACAACAACAACAATGTAACTGTTAGTTTTCTTAGATGTCCCTCCAGACCTTCCTTCACATGAACACAGAACTCATTAAAAAAGCCAACAAAGCCCATGGGCCATTGTCAGCAGAGCAACAGTGATGAGGCCCCAACCTGGACAGAGGCAAACAGGGGTGGCTGCCACAGTTAGAGATGCAAAACCCGCTGCCGTTGAGTTGACTCTGACTCAGCAACCCCACGGGGTTTCCAAGGCTGTAAATCTTTACGGAAGCAGGCTGTCTCATCTTTCTCCCGTGGAGAGGCTGGTGGTGTTGAACTGCAACCTTCTGGCTAGCAGCTCAATGCCTTAACCACAGTGCCACCAGAGCTCCTGCAGAGTTAGGGAGGAGTCCAGTAAACTAGGGCAAATTGGACCAAGGCCAAGAGAATAATACAGAACTGACCATGAACATGAAAAAGGCATATGTGAGGATGCAAAGTGAAACAGGCAGACGTGAAGGTTGCCTGGAGATCCTGCATGGCGACTGGCCACGCTCTATAACTCGACCTCCCACGGGCTTGCTCCCCACTGATGCATCAGGCTGGGTATATGTGCTTTATGCACAAATGTGTTCTATGTTTAACAATAAAAGTGTTTGCAATAGAACTATCAGACTTGAGGTCAATGAAGAGATCATAACGCTGTGGGCAGAACCATGCCTCTTCCCCCAGGGGTTTGCCTCTACATTGAACAAAAAACAACTGGGCATCTGCAGCTCCACCACAACGTGAACCTGTGGCCGCTCCTCAGTAGCAAGGCAGGTATTTTAGTTCTCACAGGTGTGTGTCCTCAGAAAAGTCACTCAGCCTTTCTGTGCCTGGTTCCTCTTCTGTGAAGTGGGGAAAATCCACCTCACAGGTTTGGAGATTAAATGAGTTTGGTTAAGTTTTAGGAAAGAACCACATACAAAGTCATCCGAGTTTTATAAAATGGGACTTTAAAACACATTTGCTGTTGAGTGCCGTTGAGTGGATGCTGGCTCACGGTGGCCCTGTGTGGCACAGCACAACTGCCCCAGAGGGTTTCCATGGCTGTGAGTCTTCACGGAAGCAGACGGCCTCATCTTTCTCCCGTGGAGTGGATGCTGGCTTGGAGCTGCTGACCTTTAGGTTTGCAGCTGAGCATTTAATAGCCGAGCCACCAGGGCGCCTCAAAACAAGTTTAGACCTACACACTCCACAACTGCATGAAGACTGGCTGCACCTGGGTCAAGATGCAAACAAGACACAGGGAAGAGGCGATTGTCGGAAGGCAGTAGAAGGGGAGCTGTTGCACTGTGGTGAATTGTGGTCAATGTCATGAGACAAAGTGTATGTGAACTGCTGTATGGAAAGTGAATTTGCTCTGTAAACTTTCACCCAAATCACAATTAAAAAA